TTTCAAGGAGGGGCTGCAGCTCGCGCCTCTCGTTGGGATGATGTATGAACTCACTCTAATTTGCTTATGAATCAATAAACTTATTATTATTCATAAAAAAAAACATTGGGCAAAAGAATAAAACACTTTAGGGGAAGTAGTTGTGGAGGTGGCCCTTAGAAAGAGAGAGATTATGGCATGAGGTGGTAGGAAGTATCCATGGATATTTAGAGAACGGGTGGGATACTGGGGTATCGAAGTGAGCAACCATGGCTACACCTTGGAAGGCAATTCACATTATTCATCCTTAATTTCACAATTTGATTAGGTACGGTGCTTGCTTTGGTAATTCAATTCTTTTTTGGGAAGATATATGGGTTGGAGAGGCTCCTTTGAATGATTTCTTTCAGTCATTGTTCAATTTTTCTCAATATAAAAGAGAGCCTGTGCCAAAATTCTTCTCCTCCTTGGAATCTCCCTTGACTCTTTCGGACTTTGGTTTCCATAGAGGTCTAAGGGATGAAGAGATTGAGAACCTAACTAGCCTTTTGAGCCTTCTTGAAAATGTTTGTTTGGATCCTTCTGAATCAGACAAAAGAATTTGGACACCCTTGCTATCGGGTCAGTTCTCTTGTGCTTCCTTTTTTAAGGCCCTTTGTTTCTCTGAAGTACAACAAGTTTTCCCCTACAAGGAGGTCTGGTGCAGGCCTATTCCCCCTAAGGTCTTAGCTTTCTGTTGGGAAGTGTACTATGGGAAGATAAACACCCTCGATTATCTACAAAAGAGAAGACCTTATCTTTGTATTTTACCTAACCGGTGTACTCTTTGCAAGTCTCATGGTGAGGACTGTTACCATTTACTAATTTCCTGTAAGGTTACTATAGATTTGTGGGATTGGCTCTTTTTGATCTTTGGGTGCAGGTGGAATAGGCCAACAGCTGTAAGCTTGCTTCTTGATTTGTCTACCTTTCCTTGGTGCTAGTGGAGAGCAAGATTAACGTGGAAGTGCACAAGAGCAGCTTTGCTATGGACACTGTGGGAAGAAAGGAACACCAGAATTTTTCAAGAGAAGGAAAGAACCATACAGGAATTAAAGGACTGATATTACATAGGGGTTATAAGGAATGGGAGGGGTTACCTTGATGGCAGCAGTCAAGGTAATCCAGGCTCTGCTGGAATGGGAGGGGTTATAAGGAATGAAAGTGGTAATGTGGCTCTCTTATACTCCGGTCCTCTAGGTGAGGGGGACTCCTCTAGGGCAGAGTTATTAGCTGCCCTCCAAGGGGTACACTTTGCAGTACAGTTAGGAGTGCAACAACTACTAATAGAAGGTGACTCTAAGGTGGTGATGGGGTGGTTGCAGAACCCGGAGAATGTATTCTTGTGTTACAAAAATGAACTGAAAAATTTCAAGTGGCTGACTAGGAATATATGTATAAGGATACAATAGGTGGGGAGATCAGCTAATGCTATGGCTGACAGTTTAGCCAAGCAAGGGACAAATAGGGAACAATTGTATTGGGCATAGTTGTAATTTGTCTTTCTTTTTGGTCTGTTGGGAGAGGTTGCAGCTCGTGCCTCTCCCTAAACAGTTGTATCTTTTTATCTCTTTTTAATAAAATCTTCTTATTCATAAAAGAAAGAGAACGAGAACTTATGTCATTCTTATTTATGTTTTACTTGCCATAATATAACAACACAGTTCTTTTGGTTTTAGCCTCCAATTTTCTTTTTCTTCTAAATGGAGATAAGAAACAGAAAGGCAACAAAATGATTTTTGAGACAGCTTCAAGGGATTGAGGCCTATGTTTTGACTATGCCTTGGAGCAAGATTTGAGTTGCATATACCAGAAAATCCTCAGTTTTAGCCTTTTAGGACCCAAGATCCATGACTAAAGTCTGAAAATTGAGACTTTTTTCTGGCACCTCACTTTCTGGTGTAAGCCTTTAAAACCATGGTAAATCAAAGGATAATAATGTGGGAATGTGTATGCTGGTGAAAAACTGAAAATGTTGTCTGCTGATGCATAATTTTGAACACTTGTTTTTCTTGCTCCTTGCTTACATTCACCAACCACCAGAAAGAGTAAAGAAAACAGAAGTACAAATCTGCAATTCCGCATTAGGATTTTAAGGTGCAATCTTCCTTTGAGTGATTACTAGTAATTTCTGCTTGTACCTGTGGATGCTAAATGGGACAATAGTCTAAATAAAAAGCATAAATGACTAACAATATCTAAATACTGTTGACATTGTCTTTTTTCCCTGGTTGCAGTTTGTTGCAAAGAAACTTGATAAAAGGCTTTCAAATCTTGGGGCAAAGGCAATAATTGAAAAAGGTCTTGGAGATGATCAACACCCTTCTGGGTAATTATGGAAAAATATGGTTTACTATACTTGATTATATGCTTGATGCTTGATGAATAAGGTTTTGGACTTCTCAGTTTTGTTCTTGGTGATCACATGTTGAACAAATTTGGACTTTAGAATCTGCTGATCATGTTTAATAACAAGCATATTTGTTTGCCTCAGCTGTTGAGTCTAAGACTATATTGCATGGTCACTTCGAAATGGATGCCATGTCTGTGTTGGACACTGGAATTTTTAGTGTGAATTCCAGTGTCTGATTTCTTAGTTTCTTATCAAATGCTGAATCATATGAAAAATAAAACTTTATTTTCCCTTTCAAGATATTCGTGACAAAAAAAAAGGAAAAAAACAAAAGTTTGAAACTGTTGGTGCAAAAAAAAGGGCCAAAGCTTAGGTCTTTATCCAGTTCACCCCTCCTAGGATCCCAAATAGCTTCTGGTGGCTGTGACCAGAAATGTGGGTTTCTGTGCTTCATTGTACCTACTTTTCCATGGAGTTTTAAGTTATCAATAAAAAAGATCCCTGATAGCTGGACCAACATTTGGTAATAGCCTTCTTTTAGTGTACGAACTGTTAGTAATGTCTTTAACTCTTTTTCAGATGTGGCAGCCACCGCTTTAGCTTAAAGCCTTCGAAATGCTCAACCTCTTTCTTTTTTCTAATTTTAAGAGTACTTTTCTTGTATTTTCTTCACTCCCTAGCAAGGTGGATAGCTCCTCACTCTTAATACCAGTCTTACTGGATTTGTCTCCAAGAATTTAGAGATTTGAATTTGAGAGAGACTCTTGGGTTGTCATTAGAATATTGGATGCATGCAGAATGTAGAAGGCCATGGCTGTGAGAGACCACATTAGAGGGGTTAGATCCTTGGCATTTTGGATGAACAACTTGTTCAGATAGGCTACAAGGTCGTCAGTCAACTCATTGTTGATAGTTTGGTGGGCCTAATGCCTTAAAAAGTTACCCTAAACCTATTTAGAATAAATAATTTAGACCGTTAAATAGGCTCAACATGTATGTGTGTATGTAGTTGGATCAAGTTGTTGAAATCAGTTAGCCACTCTTAGTTTTTTATTTATTTTTCTGTTCTTTAGTGCTGCAGGGGCACTCTTGTAATTTCCCTTATTTTTATTATTAGTTGGGTTGCCCTAATATGAAAGCTAATAGCTGGCGCTGCCAGCCAAAAGTTTTGAATCCAAATTTTTTCTTCTCTCTTCTCTCTTCTCTCTTCCTCTTCTCCCTTCCTCTGATATCTCTAGCATGGAAAACATGGTATCAGAGCAGGCTTTCTGAGATTAGAAAGAGTGTGACAAGTCTTCCTTTTTTCTGACTTCTCCTTGCTGTGGATCGAATCTGATCAAGAAGTAGATAGATTGGACTGATCTGAAGGGGGTTCTACCAGTCTCCTTCCCTTCTTCCTTGGCTGTGTGCCAAGAAACTTTTAAAAGAAGGGAAATCTGATGCCGCGAAGACAGGTCTTTCTTCTATGGATCGTGTAATCCTCTCTTGTACCCAGGTAAGGTGTTTTTTTTTTGGAGGTCTAGATGACCTGAAACTGCTAGGTCTTTTTGAACTGTGGATCATGTGATCCTGATTTTTTTTACCCAGAAAACTGGGCGGTGTAGGTCTAAATGACCTGTAACTGTAAGACAGTGTCGGCTATATTTCTTGGAAACTTTTCCAGTAGGTGTGTATGCAGTAGATGTGTTGTATCCCTAAAATTTATACATAACTGAAACTGAATTGAGGATTGAACTGAACTGAACTGTGGCTGAACTCAATTGGGGATTGAACTGTGGCTGAACTGGGGACTGAACTGAAATTGAACAATGGCTGAACTGAACCAATATCCTGTCTAGTGGGTCCTCCAGAGTCCAGTCAAGGTGGAGTGAGTGGGGGATTTGACATGAGTTTCCCCATGGCTGTGATACCTTTTGATGGTCTTAACTACCTAGAATGATCAAGGGGAATCAAACTATACATAACAGCTAGGGGGAAGGTAAGCTATATTAATGGTGAAACTAAAGAACCGAAGTCTTAGGGGGTAGAACATGATAGGTGGGATTAGGAAAACAGCATGGTGATGTCATGGCTGTTACTTTCTATGTTGCCTCCAGTTAGGAAGACCTTCATGTGGGCTGAAACAGCTGTTGAGATTTGGGAGCAGGCAAAGTCTACCTATTCAGAGCAACGCCATTATGCCAAAATATACCAGTTGCAAGCTGCCTCCTCTACCAAGCAGGGGGAGAGGACCCTCTCAGCCTACTATTTAGATTTGACCTCAATTTGGAAAGAACTAGGTCACTATCAGGACATTGATTGGAAGTGTGATGCTGATGCTAAGGTCTACAAGTCTCTGGTTTCCCAACAACGGGTTTTTGCCTTCCTCTTGGGGCTGAACCCTATATATGAGTCTTTTAGAGTTCGGATATTAGGAAGGAAAGATCTTCCTTCAGTACAAGAAGTGTATGCTCTAGTTCAATTTGAAGAGAGCAGGCGAAGTGTGATGAATAACTCCGAGAGGGAGCAGATTGCCTTAGTGGCTAAAGGGAGTATGGGTGTAGGGGGAAATAATTCCTTTAAGAAGGGTGACTTCCAGAAGAGAGTGGATGATAAGGATAAGTTATGGTGTACTCATTGCCAGAAGGCCAGACATACTCGAGATACTTGATGGGATCTCCATGGAAAGCCAAAGTGGGCCCAGGAGTTGAGTAAGAAATCAGATCAGAATAAGAGGCCAAGACAGCAGAGTCAGAAAAAGTTCAATACAACAAACTTGGCCCCTTAGGAGCCTCAGTCATCTATTGCTATTAACCAAGACTGCCCATCCGTTGCCAATCCCCGGGAAGATATCATTAATTCTTTCCGTGACCACTTGGATTTGTATGGGAGCCGGGAAGATATCATTAATTCTTTCCGTGACCACTTGGATTTGTATGGGAGAGCAATCCGCCAGATGGATTCTGCTCCTCCTGCCTCGACTTCTTTTGCATCTACTTCAAGTAATGGTAATTCTGCCACAACCTTCCATGTGTCTTCCCATTCATCTAATTCCCCATGGATAATTGACTTTGGAGCCTCAAACCATATGGCAGGTAAGTCAAATTGTTTTCAATCTTATCAACTTTTATCTAGTAGGGACAAAGTGAGTTTAGTTGATGGTTCTTTTTCCACCATAGCTGGTCAATGAATCATAATCCTTCCTTTTGGATTTACCCTTTCTAATGTATTACATGTTCCGAAATTACCTATAAATTTGTTTTCTGTCAATGGCATTACAAATTCATTAAACTGTTCAGTGACATTTTTTTTCTTGCTACTAACCTTGATTGGGATCTCCACCAGTTCGATATTAAAAATGCCTTCCTAAATGGTGATCTTGAAGAAGAAGTGTACATGGTGCAACCTCTTGGTTTCTGTGCCCAAGACCAAGAAAAAAGGTGTCTGGGTTAAAGAAGTCCTTGTACGGACTAAAGTAATCACCGAAAGCTTGGTTCAGCAAGTTTCATCTAGCTGTACAATAGATTGGTTATAAAAATGTCAGATTGATCATACATTATTTGTGAAAAAAGGAGAGGGAAAATTGCAGCCTTGATAGTGTATGTTGATGACATAGTGATCATAGGCGATTGGAAGGTGGAAATTCAAAGACTAAAGGAGTTCCTAGCCACTCAATTTGAGGTGAATGATCTAGGTCCCTTGAAGTATTTTCTTGGAATTGAAGTGGCCCATTCGAAAAAGGGGATCTTCATTTCTCAAAGAAAATACATCCTAGATTTATTACAGGATATAGGAAAACTTGGAGTCAAGCTTGCTGACTCCCCCATTGATCCAAATTATAGATTAGGTGATTGTCAAGGTGAGGCTATCAAGGATGTGAAACAATTCTAGAGACTTGTGGGCAGACTATTATATTTGTCTATGACACGGCTAGACATTGCTTATGCTATGGGTGTTCTTAGCCAATTCATGCATGCTCCCAAGACTACACACTTAAGAGGCAACCGATAGAATCCTTAGGTACCTAAAGAAGTTCCCAGGGGCTGGTTTACTTTTCTAGAAGAATGGTCACTTGAAGGTTGAGGTGTATACAGATGCTGATTGGGCCGGATCAGTTGATGATAGAAAGTCTACTAGTGGGTATTGTACCTTTGTGGGAGGAAACCTAGTCACGTGGAGAAGCAATAAATAGAATGTTGTAGCGAGGTCTAGTGCTGAAGCTGAATATAGAGCAATGTCCTATGGAGTGGCTGAAGTTATGTGGATGAAGAACTTGTTGAATGAGTTGAGATTTCCTGTTGATGGCCCCATATCCTTGTATTGTGATAACAAAGCTGCTATTAACATTGCTGCCAACCCAGTACTTCATGATAGAACTAAACATATTGAGGTTAACAAGCATTTTATTAGGGAAAAAAATTATAAATGGGGAAGTGTGCACTACATATGTCAGTTTCATAGATCAACTTGCAAACATCTTTACCAAGGGATTACATCATCCGCGACACAATGATTTATGTGACAAGTTGGGCATGATTGATATCTATGTCCCAACTTGAGGGGGAGTGTTGAAATCAGTTAGCCACTTAGTTTTTATTTATGTTTCTGTTCTTTAGTGCTGTAGGGGCACTCTTGTAATTTCCCTTATTTTTTATTATTAGTTAGGTCGCCCTAATATAAAAATTAATAGTTGGCACTGCCAGCCAAAAGTTTTGAATCCAATTTTTTTCTTCTCTCTTCTCTCTTCCTCTCCTTCTTTGATATCTCTAGCCTGGAAAACATAAGCTTTGGTCAGACTAGGATTGGGCTGAGGTCAGGCCAGACTCAGGCTACCCAAGGGCTACGCCAGGGCCCAACCTGGAAAATAAAGAAAAACTAGGGTTTTGGGCCCAGGCCCAACCCAAGGACCAGAAATCCAAGCCCGGCTTGTGTAAAATTTAGGCTCGGGTTGGGCCACCCCAAGTTGCACTCCTACACCTCACTGCCTTTTAAGATAGAAAAATCTATTGGGTAGAAGCCCTCTTCTTTGAGTATGTATACTTTTAAATCATGAGTTAAAAAGACAAATGTACTCATGTTTCTAGTAAATAATAAAAAAACATCAACCAAGGTTTTTACTCTCTACATTCTCTACAATAATTTTTGGCTTTTGAGTTCTGACAATTATTTTTTTGAAGGTAAAATAATATTGGGACAATTGATTTTCCATTGTTGTTTCTGTGGCTGCAGACTTTCAATTAAGTTATGAATTTGATAGTGAGAACATTTTGTTTTCTTTACCATGCTAATCATCTTGTGGTAGGTTTTGGTTGCTAATTTATGTGCTGAAGTGATATACTGTCTTTTTTAATCTTATTCATTGGTGACTTTCATGCTTATGCAGGTAATTTTAGAATGCTTATGGTTCTTATTATCTTGTTAGTTTTGTATACCTTTCTCACTGTTTGCAGAAAGGGGTTTCATTTGATTGAGTTCCATGGTTTCTTGCTGTTCTAACTTGTAACATGTTTGTCAGTCTTTATTATTGCCTCTGCATGGTTCCCTCTCAAGTCCCAACCCTCTTGGTGTGATTGGTCTTGGCCCCTGTTTTTATCTATTCAATTTGGTTTGAATTTAATTGACTTGAGGTTTGGCTTCTAACCATAGGTACGAAGGTGCTTTGGATCCTTGGTTGTCATCTTTGTGGGCTCTGCTTAACCAAATGTATCCTACATTCTTTCCAAGAGGTTTGGAGACTATAAATCCCAGTATGAGTGTTTTGGACCCTCCGAAATTTGAAATCATTTATCATGATGTTGACAAAGTGCAACCACTATTTTCAACTGTCTCAGGTAATTAATTACTTGCAGCAATTTACTTGGTACAATTTATGCAAACAGTTTCAGATTTACATTGCAACTTGATGGATGCTACTCTTTTATTAATTAAAACTAAAAGATCAAGAGCAATTTCCTAAATAAGGAACAAGGTACAGGAGAAGAGATGCAAAGAAAACCAGATGGGATATCAACCCTAGGTTGTCATACTACAGCTCTTCGTTGTCAAGGACTCAAGGCATATAGGTGATTCTAGGTGACAATGGAGTGCCTAGTCACCTAAATGCCTAGGTTACAAAGAAAAACAGCAGTACTTTTTAATAATAACATTAATTTTCCATGTCAAAACATCATATCTAAAAGACAATAACATTTTAAATCAACTAATTCCAATATTTTATAAACAATAGTATAATATAATTATTCAATAAAGCAATTGCATGTAAAAAATTATAAGCAACTAAAGACGGCTATAATTATATTCTAATATAAAATTTAAGAGAGTTACAAAAAATCATAAATAATCCTTGAATCTTTTATGTTTAAGTAATAAAAAATCATAAATAATATAAAATACACGATAGGATGTATGAGTACACATACCAATAAGATGCAGCTGTACTAATACCACTACAACAAGGCACCTGTCCTGTGATTTTGGTTGCTTAGGTGGGTGTCTTATTGCCTAGTCAGGGGCCTTTTTGATATAAATCATGGTATTCAGGCTAGGCGCCCCACCGAGGGTGCCTCGTTTCCTAGGTGACACCTAAGCAGGTGCCTAGGCAATGCCTTGTTGGATATCATCTCTTTGGACTTATTGGTCTTTTTTATATACATTGGTCTGAGGCAAAAATAATCCAGATATTTTCTCTTGAAAGAAGTTGCAATTTCTTTTAAAAGTTAAACAATTTTATCTAGGCTGTAGTCTCCATGTTTTAAGCACCACATATAATTCATTACATTCATGTCAAGCACAATTATTTTAAGAAAATTGTTTGTCAAAGTTGGTTGACCAGGATTATCCAAATTGATGGGTAGTCAGATAAGTGGGTTGATCAGAATTATCTATGTTCCTTACTTCTTAAACTATACTTACATAGTTTTCAAGGCGTCTAGGCGGTTCTGGGCGACACTGGGGCTCCTAGTCGCCTAGTCGCCTAGGCGATAAAAATTTTATAATATGAAAGAGCGACACTGGGGCGCCTAGTCGCCTAGGCGATAAAAATTTTATAATATGAAAAACTGACTTTTGGCTAGTTTCCCGCCTAGTCGCCTAGGCGATAAAATTTTATAATATGAAAAACTGACTTTTGGCTAGTTTCCTAGTTTTATATACCATTCAACATGTATGCTAATTGAAAAATAGCAATTCTCTTTATTAAGAACGTTAAATTTCCTCTTAAAATGTGGCAAATCATCTCCTCTAAAAGATAAAAATCTTTAACATATATTAATTTCATTATTTTCAAAAATAATA